TTTTTTTTTTTTTAGCTGGAAGGAAAAGAAGGAATGAGGACCGTACAGCTTCAGGATGTGAATTGCTTTTAAACCAGATAAGTGATGGAAGTAAGAAAGGCCACTCGGCATCTGCTACAGCGCTTGTTGACCCTAGATGGACCAATTTACTAAATAGTTTTGGCTATTTATCTCGTGAATTGAGTGATGCAGGTTTTTCGGCGCTGAAAAGGAGAGTGGTTCCCACCTTGTCACAGATGCTAGCAACAGCTCTGGCAGAAGATATGTCGACCGAAAGGAGTACTGAGGAAGGTGTTAGGGTCCCATTTGTTACTCTAGTCGCAAAGCGTAAGGTTTGACAAATCGTAAAAGAATATGCTTTTACATCGAACGTGATCAGATGTCAGTTTCAGTCTAGTTCCTTGTTCAACAATGTTTTGCACGATACTGTTATAATCAATTACGAACCTATGTTCGTTTTAGAACAGTTGTTTGGGGTGTAGTTCCTAATATTTGGATCTCAGGAGAATTTATGGTAAAAGAAGTTATGTTTATTAGAAATAGTTTGTTGGTATTGGGTTGTTGATGTGAAAAGGGTGAAGCGCATTTTTTGTAGTTTTAAAAATGTACAGGTTTTTAAACGGAATTTTTGTTCAGTTCCGGTCTCTGTGTTTTACAATATGGCTATTTTTTGTAATATTTGCCTTTTGTTATTTACTTTTCTGATCTCAATGCTATTTTCTTATTTTCTTTTTTTTTGTGCGTTGGAATTGATTAGGAGGTGATTTGCGAGGTATCGTTTTTCATGATTCATGACACTGAAGAAACTGAAATGTTGTTCTTTGTCAGGGAACATCAAACACGAGTGATTGCTAGAATTTAGTAGTGGGATCGAGATGTACACGGGATAATGAAAGTTATAACAGGAAGCAGTTTATCAGATCAGAGGGTCTTAATCCTGTTGTTGTTAGTGATCGTGTTCGTAAGGAAGCGGCTTATGGATTTGCGATTTTTGGAACTCGCCTGTTTGAAGCTAGATGTTTTTTAATTGGAACAAGAATTAGATGACGATTTGAAGCCGTAGTTAGGCATCAGTTTCCGTGAACTGCATCAAGAATATTGGGGTGGCGTGGTGTCATGAGTTTTTCTTAAATTTCTGCCATTTTTCAGAGGCATTTCTGTTGGTTAAGGTGGTGGAACTCAGGGCATTTGGAATTCGGGCAGTCAAGCTGATTGAAGCTTCTTTTGAGGATATGTAGGAATAAGCTTTCTCGTGTTACGGTTTTGGAAACCTTTTCTATAATATAAAATGATGCAGAAGGCTGCGCATTACATTTTGGTTAATATGCTTTTTTTCGTGGGCAAGTTGCAAGACTTGCTGTTGATGTTGTAGACTTCCGACGCCGTTCAAGATCATCTGTTTGTTGTAATTGTGTGGTGAACACAGTTGTTCCTTGATAATAGCAGATATTTAATTGTTCATACTTCTCCCTTTGTTCGTACACCAAACTTAATTAACCTTCGCTTGTAAGTCTGTTGTTAAGAGACGCCCTTTATCGACAACCTAGTGAATTCAGGTGGATTTTGTAAATATTTTCTAGTTGTTTATATGTTATTTATTAATTCAATGTCATTGTTAATAGAATATTTTTATGGAGCAACAATGAAATGATCTCAGAATCGAAATATTAAATTTCCAAAAAGAAAAACTGCTGAACATCTACAGTAAAAGATGAGTTGGGGGATAGAATTCAGTGTGTGGTGTCAGATTCGCTGTAGTACAGTGATGCAAAAACATTTCAATAAATTGGAGCGTCAGGAAACGACAGTCCAATTAACAGGTAGAAAATGATGTGGCGCCGCCGTTCGTGAAAACTTAGATTTTCTGAATGAACAGAAAGAGATAGAGCATTGTTAGCTGACAAAGTCGCTTCTAGAACAAGCACTTTAGAAGACCTAATTTGAGCTCAGTACTGTCGAGTTACGCATAGCGTTGGCTAGAAATTAAAAATGGTGCCACACGTCCTCCATGTACTGGTATGAAGCTTTTTGAAAGCCGTGCTCAAATAATTCTACCAATAAATTCGGATACCTTTCCTCAATGACCCACTTTGATATGTAACTTGCTTGATTAATAGCTTGTTTTCTTCTCAAACTCTCATTTTCTCTCCATTTCAAAAGAGCGACACTTCTGCCATTAATTTTTGATAAGCCAATGATCTTTTCCGGTTCCAGTCCTAAAATATGCACTCCAAAATTGGATGTTTTTTCGGAAATAAACCTTGTTTTACTGAAAATTTCTTGGGGTAGTTGATTCTGTTTGATAGTATTGCTGAACAAAAAAATCGGCTGCGTACTAACAATTGAATTTTGAGATTGATTAGGTAAGCTGTGTAGCATAAAAGCAATTTGGGAGAATAAAGTGGGGAGATGGATGGAACAAATCGAACGATGGAATTTTGCTGTTACCTTTATCCAGTTCCTCTGCAAGCATTTCGCGATCTTGTTTTTTGAAACTCTGAACAAAGCTGGTAAACTTGTTTGGCTATTAAAATTTGATCATTAATGAACAACCGAGGAATACCAAATTAGAGTAAAACAAGCAACAACACAAAAAAAAAGTTCTTTTGCCTTTCCTGCTTGTCATTTTTTTTCAGAACTATCAAAAAATGCTTCTGCACTTTGGTCAAAGAAAAAGGTAGGCTAACTAAACTGGCAGTAATCTTTAAACAACCTATTTCTTTGCATAACATAATAAGTTTCAAGAAAATTGGTATAATTCAAAGCATCTAATGAGTATTATGATCTGAATGGATAATTTACTGTTATACTGTCCTTAAATACTGAATTTTTCAGTCTTTACAAATTAAACGATCGGAAGCTAACAGCAGTAGCTGCAGTAACTTCTTCCTCTGATACACAAACTCCCGTTTTTGTCAACAGTAAGGACAATGTACAGTTTGAATTCCAAAGCAGAAACATTTCTTCAGAAAGAATTACAACATCCAATTTTAAAGCAACACTTATTTCGCGTGACAGTTAGTCAAAAGGTTTTGTAACCCCTATCTGATTTAATCTTTGCCTAAGCAGATGCACTGAGTTTCCTGTAATGACCGCAAATGAACTTGTATGGCTTCGCAAAAACTAAAACTGCCCAGGAAAAACTTGAAAACCCGCTTTGAACAAGGTCATAGATCAAAAATTGTAGAATTTGCAGAAAAAAGTTGCTACATTTAGTCGCTTTAAATATTGCGCTTCTGACAGTCGGTTAAATAGAGTTCTCCTGATTGGCATCGAATTCTGTCATATTATCTTATTTTTACGTTAATTACTGACTGATCTGAAGGACAACATCAGCAAATATGCTTTAGATTTAATCAAAGTATTTCAATCAAAAAAATAGCACATGGGAAAGTAATACCACTTCCAAATTTACTATTTATCGTTTCTGGAGAAAAGGAATGAAAAAACAAAAACTTATACCTTCTTATTATTTAAACCAAGCCTAAATTTATCGTAACCTATAGAAACTTCAAAGTTTTAACACTTATTATTTATTGATGTAGTGGATGAAAAGCATGCTCGTTACTGTACGAATTATGAACTGGTCAAAAAACTTACCTGTACCAAAGATAGCTCTTTAAGATTCATATTCTTTTCTGAAATCCAATAATTCTGTGTAGGAATAGCGCCATCAAAACTAAGCAAGTACTCTACACTTTTTTTGGTTCTTCGCATGTCAACAATTTTCATATTTGTTACTTCCTAAACTGACAACCCAATTACAAAAAGTCTTCAGAGGAAGAACAATACACATCTTCACTCAAGACAGCGGAAATAAATATCAATATTTAAAGACTTGGCTCAAAGATGGATGTACTTTGATTATAATAAACTTTTTTTTTTAATGCAGTTTTGCATAAATTTGTAGGAAATTAATGAAAAAGTAATTACTAGTAAGAGAACTGTTTTAATAATGATAGTTAATTTTTTTAGTATGATTTATAAATAATTGAACAGTTGTCACCTTATTCTTAAGGCCTTCGTCCCGGTCAATCAACGACATGGTTAGGACTATAAATTGAACAGTGCAGAAATTTACTTAATGTTTATATCACAAGCCAACAGTTCCAACTGTTGTCTTAATTAAGCATATCCACCTCGAAAAAGCAATTTCTTCCACCAATAGCCTACCTCCATCAGCTGTATTTGGGACTTTCAAACTCTCCGCACCCATTTATAACTTCAAAAAAACCTACGCACGTTTTCTCTGGTTCTTTAAGATTTCATTTTGAGCTTAATTATATTTCTTATGCTTCACGTGGGAATGGCACGTAGTCAGCACCTTCCCTCATTGCACAGTACTGTTGTTTAAATTGAGTACTTCGTCGAAACCTTTCTGTACTGCTCCGCTAGCATCTGGTCTGCTTCAACAGAAACCAAATTCTTGATGCAAGTTGCGAAAGCGTATTTTAATCACTCAAGCAGTGCATCATTTTTCACTGTTTTTATTGTGTGCTCTCTTGGATAACTGAGTGAGAAACGAAGAATGAATGCTGCGGTGGAACTTTAAATTAAAAAATTGAAGATATGAATGAAGATTTAGACCCTGGAAGCACTTAAGCCACAACTGGGAGACGTCATTTACACAAGATACCATACCAGCCGCTGGTTCAATGGAGCACAGATGTACGGGAACACATAAGAAACTATAAAAATTGAGATCTTAAAAAGTAAATTGCATATGACTTCACAACTTTAAATTGGGTGAATCTGGAGCGCTGCAGAACCCAG